ATGCGTCACACCCTAACCTTCTACCCCACCCCAGCCATTCGGCGTGTAGTCCATATGATGCATGCGTGTCCCACATCTGGCGAATCGGCCTGTGGTCTGGTACACGAAAGCAAGCGGCAGCGGTGCAAACTACTGGGGACTTCAACATACCTGCTGAACGAGTACTTTTCCACAGTCCAGGGCGCGATTCCATCGACTAAAATGTGAGTTCTAAAGTGTAACCCAGTTGCTCCTTTTTTCTCGTATTTCTGGCATGCTGTGCAAGCGGGCCTGAAAATATAACTTGTTGGCCCAAGATTGCCCACGTAGGAGTGCAACGGCTGAATATCCTAGGGTACACGTCGGAAAAATACTTCGAACTGCCGTTACTGCAAGGTATTGCTCCTCCAATCGGGAAAAAAAATCGGGGAAATCATTGGAAAAAAAGGTGGCGCTGAGGGGAACCGAACCCACTACCTCTGGCAATGAAGGGCCTTGTCGCACGTACACGTACAGTTAAAGTCAAAGGAAGCCTCGCTCAAAATTGGGATTCCGCGCTGCGGTACTTGTCGCAATCATAACGCATTCGCTGGATCTGCAAGGTCATGGATTCGATTCTCCTCGGCGCCATCTTTTTTCCCCATCCACCTTTTTTTTCCCATCTTTGTTCCTCTCAATATTTGATGTACAGTCTTTCGGCGGTATTTTCCCGACGTGTCCCCTCTCAAATTTGATTTCTCACCATGATTGCAACAAACCTAATCCCTCTCTTATATGCGAACCCTTCCGCTGCCCTCAGGTCCTTCCGGCTAATTCCGCGAGAAGAAAGAGGGCGGGGGCAGTATTGGAGGAGTCACCGAGAGCGAACACAACTTGATAGTCCTCTCTCCGCTTGTTTTGCATGTTTGGATTTTTTTTTTGTGTGCGTGGGGGTGAGGGGTTTAACTTGTACCATTGTCGAAGGAGTAGAACGCGAGTCGTATCTGTGGCGGCCTTTCTCACTTGGTGTCCTCACCTTGGCCGCGTAAAGCATGCCTTGGGTAGCGTTGTACTGAGGATCACATCCTTGGAATGGAGCTTATAGCTTCCTTTCGTTGGCGGTTGGGGTCGCCGCGCCCTCGTGTGGGCTGTTCTGAAGGAATTGCGCTCTACGAAGTATGTTTATCTCGTGCAACCCGGCGCCGAAGGCTCATGATGATGGCAGTGTTATTTTCGGCGTCCGATTTATGACGAAGTATGCTGTAGCTGTGTTGTTTTTTTGCCGCGAATGACAATACATTTCTGATAAATTTGCGTGTGTGCTTTGTGGACACCGGCTGGTACATAGTTTTCGCGGCAATGCATGGACATTCTCGGGCTTCGGCAACCTCGCCTGCAACCAAGCACAGATACAAATGTCCCTTAACTGGGTTTTGGCCGGCGTTTCCGAACCCTGCCTGACCTTGGAGGTTGGCAACGGTGCGCCCGACCGGGTTACGCAGGTTGCACAACGCCTAGGGATTACAGATCACGTTAACCCCCCCGTAACCGTGCCCATTGGCCACCTGTGTGATGTATGATGCGCGAAAAACTCCACACCGGAAAATCTCAACCGGCGGCGCGTTTGCATTTTATCAAGTTGACATCAAAAGGAAATCGCATTCCGTCCCCGCCGTCCCCAACCTTGCCGATGTTCAAGGGGCACTGCGTCGCGAGTGGAGTACCCACAGCTACGTTTGGCGCTGGAACGGTGGCAAACGCTGCTCTAGCGGTCGCGGTAGAGGCTGTGTGCGTTGGACAATTGTTGATGTATGATGCGCGAAAGACTCTCCATCCCAAAAATTTAACAGCGGTGCTTTGATCATCGAGACTCGATCTTGGAAGAGGTGCTGTGCGGCGTCGGAGTGGTGGATTCTGGCGGGTTTTGTTTTGTGGCCTTCGCAGAAACCAGAGCTATGGTTATATCGATCTCGTTTCGAGCAATCACTACACACGCACGAGGGCCGCTGCTGAAACCTCTGGAAAACATCGAAAATCACTGGTTTTTAGAGTCTAGACTGGCTTGCTTTCTGGTGTCCGTTCCAAAACCTGACCGACAATAACACTCTATGGTCTGATCACAGGTCTCTGTCCAATATCAACAGCCAATTTGATTGTGGGCGCGAGTATTCCACGATACCAGGTCATGCTCCAATATCTAGTTAAGACCCGATCTGGCGTCGTCGGCAGGTGGTGCGGACCAACATTCTTTTCGGAAAAATACACACACAAAAACGAATAATCGACCCAAGCGCATACATACACGATTTCGGGAGGTCAGGCGCAAGCTTAAAAGTAATTCAACCACTTGATTTTCGAGCCCCCCTGCATGTAAAATGTGGTTCCGATTTTTGTCGTGCTCGAAGGGTGTTGCTAGATGAGTGTTTGAAAAACTGCACTAAGGAGATTCTTTGTAGTGGAGAAAATTCGGGAGTACAGGCTCAAATCGGGATCGGGAAATCGCCCAACACTTCGCGAGAAATGGCCAACAGCGTGCCTTCAAATGCTTGTTTCTCGAGCCCCCCTGAATGTCAAGTAAAAAGTGGTTTCGATCTTTTGTCGTGCTCAGAGGGTCATCCCGGATGAGTCTTCCACAAACAGCACAAGGGACACTCCTTTGAGTGGAGAAAATCCGGCTCTACAAGCCCAAATGGGGCCGAGAAATGTCCAGCAACGGGCCTTCAAGTGCTTCTTTCTCGAGCCCCCCCGCATGAAAAGTGGTCCCGATATGTTTTATCGTGCTCGGGGGTCATCACGAGCACACGATAACGACCGCAGAGCAGAAGGGTGCTACGCGCGCGGAGAGCTGACGCGATGATGCTGTTGCCGTGGGGGAGAGTGGCAAAAGGTCACATCGCGGTGCGGTGAATGAGTGTTTGTCAACCGGCGGGCGGAGTTTTTTTTCTTGCAGGAGTAGTCTGACAGAGGGAGAGGCTATCCCCTGTGGTCTCCACCCCATCCTGCATGCACGCGCGGAAGGTCAGAGAAAGAAAGCGAATGGTGGTGCCCGGAACAAATAGTCTACACGTCGCGTATGCAGGGAACACAGAGTGGGGGTCGTGCGTTATTGCGGCCCGTTGTATGCGATGTCGTCGTACATCCAGGGCAGGAAATCTACAAAAGGAGGTTGTCATCACGACGCCGTGATGTAGCTTATTCTCGCTTTTCTCTCACTGTTAAAGGGGTCAATTATTCTCACTCTTCTTTACTCAATCAATCTCTCCAGGAATCCCCCGTTCGCAACCAACAATCACAACAACACATCCGCCTTCCGATCACCAAATAATAACACGAAATATATACCTCTTCTCTCTCTTTCCCCGGCGTGCTGGCTCACGCCCCCCAGAAAAATCCGGAAAATTGCCCACGAGAGAGGAAACGGAGAGAGAGAGAGGGGGCACATGATGTGGTATGCATACGGGCATCATCAGGATCGGGATCTTCACGGTTGGCAACGCACAAAAAAATGCACACAGATATTAATTCTCGCGGCGGCTGAACTTTTTGGCGACAGAGGGGATTAAGAAGAAGCAGACGTAGCCTACATGCTGTAGATAGATAGCCCCACACACCTCACCCCGAAAGTCTCAAGGAACTAAGGCATCGCAACACGACGAGAACATGATGTCTACATTCCAAGAAAAGTCACTGGCGTACAAGACACGTTTCCAAGCACCCGGTACCTAGAGAAAGTCGTCCTCGGCAGCTTCACACGTGCCAAGCTCCCCCCCCCCCTCCAAAGAAAAACTCAACTGACTGCCACGACGTCGAGGAACATCTATCTCAATCGGTTTGTGCTCGGCATGGGCCCATCCAAGGAACGCAGGTCTTGCCGTTTGGATTGCGCTACTGGTGCTAGTTCTCCCTCCTAAGCGATCGGCGGGGTTTGTCATAATGTCACCCTGCGAACCTAATAGGTGGCTCGCATCAGGTCCCGTTGAGAAGCCTCCGTCCTGACGGGACAGCGCTTTATTAGCGGATAGGCCCGTACCGTGGGACGAATCGAACGAGCTTCCAGAATATCGTCGTGGAAGGTCTACGGCAGTGGGCTTTTCCCGTGGAAATCCCCACGATCTCCTGAATAGGCCTTTGCTCTCATCCATGTTGCTGGGTTCAGACGACTGTTTCCCTGCCAGGACGACCGCGGTATTGCCAAACGAACTGAACTGGCTGGAATCTCTTCTGTTGCAGAAGCTTCCATCCTGACGAAAAGAGCCCTTCGAGGCTAGACCCATGCGATGTGTCGAACCGGACGAGTTTCGGGAATGACGTCGTGGAAGATCTACGGCAATGGGCTTTCCCCATGTAAACCCCCATGGTATTCCGAACAGGCCCGGGCTCTCATAGGTTCTGCTGGGTTCCGATGACCTGCCGACATCTCCACTTGCCTTTCTCCCTGTGCCGATGGGTCTGCCCTCGCCTGCGTCGATTCCCCCAAAACTGCCCAGGACAGTTTCTCTATCACAGTCGCGCTCTGGCGTGAGGGACATGCCAGAATCCTCAACGCCCACGACCGAAGCCTTCGAAACACCAGGGCGACGGTGGGGAATATTATCCTGAATGGGTTTTCTTCCGTTCCAAGCCCAGCGACCTCTGATACCGAACGTTTCGGAATCCGCACTGGTATCGTCCTCGTGATCAGTCGTCATTGGCACGCCAGATATATCGCCGTAGTCTACTCTGGCCTCCATGCCAGAATCATAGGTGAGACGGCGACGAGGAAATTCGTCCACTATGAGTGCTCCCCGATCCCGACTGCGACCATGTTGACCGTGATCGTTCGACACCACCCCTAGGAACGATTTGTCATCGTGCGTTCTTTGCAGGTCAGGCACATCGACATTATCGGTCGAATACCCCGAAGTAGAGGAGAATATGGGACAGCGGTGGGGCAACTCCTCAACGTCTCCTCCAGGTTTACGTCCTTGTCCCTCTCGTGGGTCGTTGTCAGCGACGATCGACAGAGCGCCATCATCTTGTTCATGCCCAGCCTGCACGTCTGGTGCCTTGGCGTCTTTTGCAGCCATATCAAAAAACGAGAACCACGAGCGCCGTCGCGGCACATCATCTTCAACAAGCCCTTCCTGGGCGCGACCCTCACCTCGCTGTCGGCCGGCCCAACCTCCCGAAGATCCTCGGTAATTTCTATTCTCCAGTACTGACTGCAGAAAGGGTTCATCAGCACTGTCTACCGATGTCATCGAAGTAGAGAGGAAAACGGACCGACGACGAGGGAGACCGTCCTCAAAGGGTCCTCCCCTTGTGGCTCGTTCCCGTTGCCACGAACGGTTTACAACAAGAGGGGGCGCGTCGCCGCCGTGCTCCGGCACTGCCTGCAGTCCATCTATTGCTGGAGGATCTTCCGCAGAAGTGGTGGAACGGAAAGAGAAACTGGGGCGTCTGCTAGACAGATCGTTCTGAACGGGTCCTCCATGTGGACAACTGCCACGGCGTTGGGGTGGGGTCTCATCGACGTCAAACTTCAAACCATCCTTCGGGACAGCCTGCCGGCTAGATCCATGTATGCTGTCCATCGATGCAGTCGAAGCAGAACAGAAAACCGACCGACGGCGGGGTAAGTCGTCTTGGACAGGCTCTCCCCACTTGTGAGTCCGATCACTCCTTGCACTCTGTTGGACGGAAGCAGGCCACATGTTCGTGTCGAGATTGTGCATTGCTGGCAAGCTTAGGTCCTCATCAAGATGTCGTGCAAACCCTGAGGCGGCGGAGTAACCGGAACGGCGGTGTGGCAAATCATCCTCAAGGTGCCTTCCCTGTCGATGACCCCAACCATGCAGCGAACCATCGTCGACAACAGCTTCCAGGTCGTTCCCATATTCTGGCAGAGGCTGCCGGTCGGCTTCATCGGAGCTGTCTAACGATGACATCGGGATAGAGGAGGAACAGAAGCGTCGTCGGGGCAAGCTGTCCTCGACGGGTCCCCGACGTGTACGTGATTGACCGTTCTGTGGACCATGTACATCGGAAAAGTGCTCTAGGTCATTGTCATGCTCTGGCACAGACTGCAGGTCCGTATTGTCGACGTGGTCGACCGAAAAACCTGAAACAGACCAGACGCTCGGGCGGCGGCGCGGAAAATCTTCTCCTGCGGGTTCTCCCCGCCTACGACCCCGACGGCGCCTTGGACCTTGCACGTCTTCATCAGCCTCCAGGCCAGCTTCGTTCTCGTCGATCCCCTGTTCGTGGACGGCATCATCCAAAATTTCCGGTCCTGCGGCAAGTCCGATGCGGCGGCGAGGTAGGTCATCCTCAATGAGACCTGCTCCGCACTGCCTACCATGGCTTCCGTGACGGCGCTTGGCTGAGATACTCTGAGCGTGACTCACGTACTCCCGACCTGTCAACGGGCCGGCATCGCCTCGACGGTCTACCACCACCGCCGATGGTACCAGGATATTTGAATGCCGAAAGGAGAGATTGTCCTCAATGGGCCCATTCTCGTTCGAGCCGCTACGTTCGTCAGAGCCTGAGATACCCGCGCTCCGCGGCGATGACGTCTGACCAGCTTCTTCCATACTGACAGCGGCGATTGTCGAATCAAGAGAGTAGCTGGAGCGACGGATAGGATAGTCATTTTCCGCAGGCCCTCTTTTCCATTTCCGACGTCTGCCCGAGGCTGGTTGGTCTGTGATGGCATCGGCATCGTCGTCTTGCCCCCCGTACCAATCGAAACCACCAAAGTTGCGACGGGGCAGGTCGATGGGAACCGGTGCCCGAAGGTTTTTTAAGGACCATTCGGGATATGGGCCGATTTGCCCCGCTCTCAATCGATCTTGGCGCCTGGAGCCTGTCGGGTCACGGATGCCTTCTCTCGTATCTCTCACGCCTGGATTTGAAAGGGGAAACGTCAAGAGGGATTATGACTTGATGTAGCCGTAGGCGTCGCGTCTGGCCATCCAGATGCTACAACCGACGGTTCAACATGTCACATCATACCTCAGATTCCATGGTTGGCATGAGGTCATACGACAACGTTTTATAACGTGCTGTTTGGTCTGGGCTCTTTCATGCTTGGAAGACTGAACAACTATCCACATAACGTAGGCCCAACATTTCTCGTGCCCGTAGTCAGGACCTCTAGCGGCTGTAAGTGCAGCCATTCAAACTGTCACTTACATGCGAACACGTTGCTGCCGACCATATTAAACCAAGTTCTCCCCCACAGCCGAAGAGTTCGACGGTTGATGAACTCTCGCTCGGCGCGCTGCAGAGAGGTGCGTGATGTGAAACACGAAATGTGAGCCTGACTTTGGTGGCGATTGGTTTCGGCTGGGGAACACACAGAAGGGTGGTCATGTTTTCCATTTCTCCCAAGCTGGGACTACGCCAACGATAATCAGCTCCGGAAAAAAGACATTTAATGTAGGACGGACCAGATGAAAACAAATCAGGTTTTGTTGAAAACCAATTGGAAGTAGAACATGGTTTTAGGGTAGGAGGAAATGAACACGAACGTACGGGTGCCTCGAAGGAGAGAACGGGAGAAGGCTCACCTCGAACACTCTGCTGACGCTACGTGTTCACCCATAAGAGTCTTACGAGTGCGAGAGAGGGTAACGCACGGACAAGGTGCAAGGTGGACACATAGAAGGCTTTGAGTGGTTTGTCAGCTCCAGGAGAGGCACAAACGTTTAGTCATTTTACGAGAGCCGTGAGGGACATGAGAGGGGCATTAAGCATTCCGTGGGCCGAGCGAGCGGCTTCATTGCGGCGGTGTGGACAGAGCCGCCGAGAGCAATGCCGGCCGTGCCGACGCACATGCACACCACCGAGGGGTACGTGTGGGTGGTTGTGCAGTGGGAAATGAGTCGGTGAACGCCGAGGGTGAGGACGGTAACGCTTGTCTCGGTGACTGCCACCGTATGTTTTTTTGAGAATAAGCAAGCGGTGCTGGTGGTTGTGCACAATCCGATCAACACAGTGCCAAACGTAGACGGGCGTATCCGACGACGCAGAGGCATTCTCGACGCCGAGGCTCCTCGCGTCAACACGCGACGTAACTGCGTGCATGATGAGGTACCAATCAAGACAAAACAAGAAAATATCGTTCTCTCGGTTGCCTTGATGCTTGCTTGAAGTACAGCTAGCACCCGCGATTGGGAACAACATTTTCAGAGACAACGGGTCAAATTTCCACGAAAAGACAAAATATAGGGTTGAGAAACACCGCTCAATCTGGGCCACGATAAAAGAAACGTCTCGGTACGAAAACAGGGGTGATCGCTGCCTACCATATACGAGACGCGGCTTTACGGGAGTGTGTCGAATAAGTTCCAAGCACTCTCTCTCTCCACCCCTTTCCCAAGGGTGACCGACCCCGACCCCCTCGCAATAGTACAGTGCATTCGCTGCGGCAAGGTGGGTGTTTGTATTGCGGCGCGCCCTCCCCCACCCTGCCGGCTCTGGCGCTGCTGTATGGGTTTGATGGAGCTCTCCGCCGCCTGTCTTGAGGGCTTCTAAATTTCAACGAGTTCAATTTTAAGAAAATCTTGGCATCAGAAAATTTTACAACGTACCCTGAGTTTTCAGCCCACAAAAGCCATTTGAGGCTGGGCCGGAACTTGGCGCGAACTGTACACCACCGCATCCACCAGTCCGTATGCATGGTGGAGATATAATATGTACCACTTCGCAAACGATACAACTGCATGATGTTCAGGTAGTAGGTACACAAACAACCAAACCGGTACACAACAAACCTGTTTGTTGAAAAACGCGAAAGCTGTATCACATGTGTGTGCTGGCATATATACTATGGCATTCGATACAACTGCGTGCAGTTGAGGTACATACACAAAGAACAGGGTTTTCGCCTGATTGAGAGCGGAGTATACGATTGAGAGCGGGAGCCAAAAAAATTGAAATTTCGGGTCCAGACGCCTCTTGCCATTTCTTGGGAAGTAGGGGGCGGGCTCTTCCAAGAAGCGGCGCAAATTGAAGGTCTCATCAGCAGCGTCACGAGCATATGCGTGTCATCGCGATCGGATGCTGCAGCTAGGAGCTAGACAAGTTGCTAGATTTCCCCAGATTGGCTATTCCTGCCTCAAACTGTTTCAGGGCGATTTGATCGCGGGCGGTGAGCTCTGCTGTAGATTCTGCTCCCCGCTGTAGCTCCACAACGAGAGACGCCCACAGGATGACCAGGGTATCGGCTTGTAGCTACGGGCTAGGCCTTCAATTCAAGTCACGCAGCAAGCTCCACCTCTCAGCGGTAGTCCAGCTACAGCGCATCGCGCAATCTCGCTCTCAATCAGAAACGTCGCTCTCAATCACACGAAAACCTTGTTAAAGACACAAACACGCACAAAACAATTCTTGGATATTGATATTCTTGCGAAGCACACGAACGCTGCATGTTCTGTGTGATTTACGCGACTGCATCACATGTATGTGCCGTGCTGTATGCCACGGTGAAGGTGCATCAAATTGGCACTGCAGTCATAACAAATTTCAGGAGATTATACAGCTGCCGGTGGTGCATGTGGGCAATACCTGCAATGACCACAATTGTTCGAGACTTGCCGTGAGAATCGAAGCCCCGGTTTCGACGGGATATGTTGGAGCAGAAGAATGCTTGACAGCCAGCAGTTCTTGACTTGATAGTAATTTGTCGAATGTAGAATGTTCATCTTCACGAGAAGAGTAAGATTTTGCCGGGGACAACACACAAAAGCTGTTGTTGAGCAGTCGCGGTAGGTGGGCTTGTTGTTCGACTGTGCCACCTACCAGGGTCGTCGTATGGCGCGAATCACGCAGAAAGAAAAAGTGCCTTAACCAAACGGCATCACTAACGCTTGGCGGCCGTGCTAGGTGGAACTGTTTGTTAACAGTGCTACGAATACCTACCTAGGGTTGTCGCCTTGGGCGATTCACGGAACAAAAACGAGAATGTAACCGCCGGGACCAAACCGCGTCAATAGTGTCGGGCGGCCGTCGTTGATGGTTTAGTTGTTCGGCAGGGCTAACTAGTACGGTTGTCGCCTTGGGCGATTCACGTAGCGACAACAATTTGTTCATTTGCCGCCGGTTGGCAGGGGCTGTATTTCGTAAACGCTTCTGATGGCTACCGAAACGAGGTCGCGATAGGATGGTAGGATGAGGGTGGACTGTGCCGGGGGGGGTGGCCAGGATCTGCCGGACGGTCCGCGTCAAGGGCAGTGGCGGCGGCCAAGTCTGCTGGGCGTTCCGCATCGCGAAGGTCTCCCGGGCGGTAGTGCGTGCTCATCATCGGGGATCAGGCCGCCTGTCGTGGGCGAGGCCGTCTACTCGGAGCGAGCGGGGGTGGCGGAGAAAATGATCGCGACATCTTCACTGATTTCCGCCGAGAGTTGACGGAGCTACCGTGTGTGACCGTAAACCGTGATGACGTCATGAAACAACTGCAGGGCGTCATCTCCAGCAGGGATGGCGAGGGGGGCAGAGAGGTGGCGATCGTGGGAACGGTTCCGCCACCAACGGGTGGGGGCAACGGTGCGGGCGACGGCAACGGTGAATGCGCAGTCCGCTTGCATCGGGCAGGTCGCCTTCAAGGCGGACATGAAAGCGTGGCGCAATCCCGCCATCATCAGGCCATGGTCTATTACCACGGCGCGGCCCTCGTTCCCCGGAGTGTCGAGGGCGAACATGCAGGCCGTTTATTGTGAAGTAGCTCACGTTTCATCTCAAGTGGTGTGGAGATGCTGAACGACCTGTCCGGATTTTCCAGGTGCAGATGTTCGTGCCCGACGGGGACGACGACAGTGGTCAAGGAATCTCCCTGCCGAAGCACCTCCACACTCTCATCGAGGCCGTCGCGACGAACTTGTCGAAGCGCGTGAGGTCTGGGCAAGGTCTACAACGTGTGGATGTTCTACAACACAAACGGCTGGGTCGACGGCTGACGATGTTGCGGCGGCAATGCAAGGAGTGCCGCATCAAGGTGAGCGTCGCCAGTATTGTCACCATGATGGCCAACATCGTTGACGAGGACCTCGATCGCTGGGTGGGAGAGCTTTTAGATGCGGCGACAACGTTCGGGAAATTGCATGTGTCACCTCCGACTGCCGGCGACTTCCCGCCGTCGTTACACCAGCGTGGACCGGTCTGACGTCATGCATCACACCCGGTGGTCTCCCCAACTCCTTCCATCAACTTCAACATCGCTCGTCTGCGGCGGGCTCCGGCAAGACAAAAGCCACGACGTTTACGCACGGGCCTAGATACTGGTTTGACTTCGCGTTGGAGGCGTGGTGCAGTCGATCGGCCCACTGTAGGAGGATTCACCCTACCGACCCCAACAAGTCCGACAGCAAGCGGGGTGAGGTAAGCGGTGCCGATGAATCCGTCATTGGCTCCAGCTGCGGTGGGAGCCGAGCTAAGAACAACTAGGGATACGGGCTCTGTCGTGCGCATGGCCAACCTCGACAAGCTGCCCGAAGGTAGAGCGACGGAGCCGACGAGGCCAACCCCCAGGCCGCGGCAAGGAGCAGCATCGAGGCCAAGAAGCGATGGACGTCATTTCCGTGGTCGAGGCCTCAGGCTCATCACAAGATCAGTTGCGAGTCCGTCCCAACGCAATAACGCATCAGGGTTTCGGTTTTGGTGTATCGTTCGCAGGATGATGGGCTACCACAAGTTCACCCGCGGAAGATGATTTGGGCTCTGATTGGTTTTGCCGCGTGGTGTTTCGAGTCGGAAGGAAACCTGTCGGCGACATCTCGGGGAAGATCGCAGCGGTGCAGTACTACCACAGGGTGGAAGCATACGTTAAGATGGTCACGCCGCCTCCGTTGCTGATGTCGCGCCCTTCGGGGCATTGCCAAGTCGGATGTGGACGCCGGAGTACACCACCGAGTTCGATTGCCGGTCACTTGGAAGATGTTGAGAGAAGTGAGGACTTTATTCCAACTTTGGGGGTGGGAGGACTCGTGATGTGGTAAGTTTTTTCTTGATCGCTATTGTAGGTCGGACAAGATGTTTTCCGACAGTTCCGGGGTAGCGAATCCAGTGCACTGTTTCATGAGACTGGATGTTGCGTTTTTCTCTGGGAGTGAAGAGTTAGATTAGAGTATGTCCCCTGGTCCAGGACAGATAAGATATAGGTGCATTTTCGGGGAACATGGGCGACCAGGACCAGATAGGATCGGCCAGGACTCGTGCACGGGATAAAGTCAGCGGCCCGCGATCGGGGTACAGAGCAGACGGCGGAGCAGTTGTACTGATGGTGGATTGGTTGTCATGTCATGCAATATTGCCCGATGATGCACTGCTGCTGTCATCATACTGTAGCGGTAGCGATCGTGAAGTAACGGTTCTACAGTATGAATACATTGAGAGAGATTGTTGAGAAGTCGGGGAAAACCCGAAAGGATTGCCACTACGTTCGCTTCGGGTTGGGGGGGTTTTCACGTAGGCGTGCCGGAGGTGATGCTTCGGAAAGGGTAATCCATAGAGCACGACGGTGGAAGTCTGGTGCGCACAAGCCGAATACAGTATCCAACACGAAATACTCGCGAACGGTCTCGCGAACACTTGAAGATAAGGACGAGTGAGTCGGGCGGCAGCCAGGAGAAGGCACGGTGTGGGGTAGGCATAAGACGAGACTAGGATCACTGAACGAGTAGAAGCATGATGACCTCAGAGTTGGCAAAGAAATGGTAGGGTACCTTTCTGGGGACTTGGTAATATGAGACTACTGTGTGCAGTAAGATTAGTTCCTTACGTAAAGAGTACTAATAGTGGTTGCCCCCCGAAGGAAAAAAGAGAGAAAATTTGTTCATAGATGCAAAGACAAAGGGAGAGATACCCTAGGCAAAGGCGCCGAAAGGTGTACCTTTCTGGGGACTTGGTAATATGAGACTACTGTGTGCAGTAAGATTAGTTCCTTACGTAAAGAGTACTAATAGTGGTTGCCCCCCGAAGGAAAAAAGAGAGAAAATTTGTTCATAGATGCAAAGACAAAGGGAGAGATACCCTAGGCAAAGGCGCCGAAAGGTGTACCTTTCTGGGGACTTGGTAATATGAGACTACTGTGTGCAGTAAGATTAGTTCCTTAGGTAAAGAGTACTAATAGTGGTTGCCCCCCGAAGGACGAGAAAATTATTTCATAGATGCAACGACAAAGGGAGAGATACCCTAGCAAAGGCGCCGAGTGGTGTATCCGGCCAAAATGTGATCTGCCAGGTGCATATCTTTCCTTCCTCGGGCGTAGAAAATAGTGATGACGGCCATTCGAAAGAAAACAATGAATGTGGGGTGGATTGCTCACAATGTGTAGCGGTAACCCTTTCCACTTTGATCGTTCGCCCGAAACAAAGTTAACGTACGCGCACAAGTCAGCAATCACGGCAGAAAATATGTACTTGACATTGACAGCATATATTCAGAGGCTCTGGTGTGCGCATGGCGTTTACATAGTCTCACTTGAGCTGCGTTATCCCTGGTCTTGACGGGCCCCCTCCTGTTCCGAATCGCGCCCCACACCAACAGTAGAGTGTCCACATAGAGCGGTACAACCAGTACTGTCAATGTAGCCAAGGACGTTGCACGGAGAGTCATGGCGGACATCTAGGTGAACTCAACATGTGCCGGCAACTTCCCTGCCGGCAGGGCAATAAAAATTGTTGGGGCGTCTTGCCACGCGACTTTCGGCGGTACACCCACGAAAGGGAGAGGGCACCCTGAGCAACTCTAAGTAGCAGAAAACCGGAGGCCCAGCAGAATAGTAGACCCCTACTTGGCAGACATGATCGGCGTACGGCGTACGTTGGAAATATGTTGCTGCTATGAAGTTCATCTGCATCTCACCTGCAATACACAGATGCTGTGCGACCATGACCACAATGTCGATCCTATCCGCTGCGGCAGTCATGCGGAACGTGCCAGCGGACAGGGCCAGCATCCCCATACAAACCGCATCGGTCAACATCACGATAGCTCCCATTGTATTCAGAACGCTGCGTACAGGCGGCCAGCATATCAGAATGGGAAAAGATCAAGCTGGGACTATTCTCCGTCGCCTTGTTAATCAGGTTACATGTTTAGTCTGCGCACAGTATAACGACGGCCACGGCGAAGAAATTCATCGACTACAGTATATTATTTGGAGTGCACACAACACAATCAAGTGGATCTGAAAACCTTGTTACAGCAGCAGACAGCCAGACATGAACAAAATACAACAACACAAAACACCATGCAGATTGCAGCAAATGGCGGTCCGTGCGAGGACAAAGAAATATCTGCGGTCTTGAACACCTCCCGTGTCTTTCCATCGTGCTTCACACTACGTAATGTGCACGGTGTGCGCATGGAGGCTCCTCCTTCTGCACGCGACAGATTGTGCGTGCGCTAGGAGGTGCCGCCTGGGTTCGCCTGCTGAGTTGCGGTGGGTCTCGTGCAGACTTACTGCACTTCTATCAGCCGATGTACAGTATAATTTGCAGCGGTCCCGAAATTTTCATGTGCAACATACAGTAGCAGTCTACTTTGCACTCTGGTATGTAAAAGGAAGGTGTTGTCTTGCGCTGGTGATGAAATATTTTGAGGGCATTGTGTTCATCTCCTCGCTCGGCCCATGGCCTGCATTGCACAGACAGCACGCGTCTTTTTGCTTTTCTTTGCTTTTGCGCAAAGGGTGCGAAACAGCATTGAGCAAGAGGGGAACTCAGGAGTAACACAAAACGGCATCGATCGGGCGCTCTGTCCGTTCATTCGTATGATTTCCAACAATCAACGCAACAACCAATGTGTTAGTCTATATATAATCACGCATGCTGTATGTATGTGGCCGAGACCATGGGTAACTCCTTCTGGCCAGCGTTCTCCATGACTGCCGGTTGCCCACGTCGTCCTCAAACTTAAGCGTTGCTCATCAAATCTAACACGCTACTGGCAGACATGCGCATGTTCCAATGTAGCTATTTTGACTGGAGTTTACATGAATAACGCTCCACCACTGCCGATCATTTGGAATTTACATAGCAGGTCAGAACTGGTGGTTGTTTGTGCTTGTAGTTGGTTGTGTTTGGTGATACATATACTGTATGATAGGACACACTGTATTCGAAGCACTGTACGCCGATTTCAGTATCAGTGCTGCGTATCCAACACCTTTGACCCCCTGGTGAGAGAGAAGTACTCTTTTCTGTCATGGTCTTCTCGTTGAAGGCCCTCCCTCCCTCGGACGCCGACCGGCTTGCGTAGCAGGGAAGTTTATCCTTCGAACTGAGAGAATATAATGTGGTTTATTGGTGTAACCGTTTGAATGTTCAGGTATTTGGAAACTCGGGGTCACTACAGCTTAAGATGTGGAACCCTCCTGTATTTCCGGTTAGAAGAGACCACGCAGTAGCCTTGGCAAGTTGAGTGACGAGCGGCAGTTACAGAGCGCGCGGAGAGAAGGAAGGACAGCAGTGGCCGTCCAACGTCGGTGGCGGCAACATCCAATCCATCCAGTTGGTGCCGTGCCCCGTGGCGACGGCTACGTAGCAGTCAACTGTGTTGTATCGCTCTTTTTTATTCAGCGGGTCTACTTTTGACAACGGAGGCGTCAAAACGCACATGGACTAATTGCCAGCCTCCAAACATTTCCTCGAAACGATGCCTTCAAGCAACACAGCGGCACATCTCGGATTAAGCAAATGTATGGGTTAATAACGCCCCACGGAGCGTGTACACCTCATTCCATGGTGAATGATGATGTTGATGGTTACTGTAGGGGCCACGCAACCGTCTCGGCGTAGAGTTACGTACTTTAGATCGGTTTGAAACTAATCTGCGGACGGTATCGTCGTATGAGCATGGGAAGCCGTCGCGCTTCGCCGAGCGGTGTTATTGGATTCCTCCCGCGGGTCATCTACGCTCACTCGTTCGTTGCGTCTGTCTATTTTCGCGAGAATCGTCTTTGTGAGGGACGCATGCCGAAAGGTACACCAAAGTTATTACATGGGTCCCACGTGTGTCAGGAATTTTGACACGAGCACGAAATTTTGACACGAGACCAGAATTTTGACACGAGACGTCAGAATTTTGACACGAGAGGTTACGCTGCACTTTTTCATGCCAGAATCACAGGTCAGAATTCTTCGAAAACGTGGTCAAAATATTTTCACCTGAAGTATTTTGACACGAGAAAACGACAAATTGACACGAGCGCCATCGCACACACACTAAGGCATCAACTCAGTCGGCGAGCTCGCACGCAGCATCCCGCACACCCACACACGTGAACACAACGCGCCCGGGAGTACATCGCGTTAGGGGAACGTCAAGCCGCGGATAGTATCGTGTACGTTCATAGCGGGATCGAGAACAAAACACGCCGAGGTTGGTCTGTCTGGACCCTGGACTCGAAGCACACGGGAGATAACCACAACAGCAGCTAGTCGGGTGCCCCGCCCGTGAAGGGAGAGGTTGCAGCAGTTGTTGGTGGAAGAGACGGTAGCTCTGGGCGCACGTACTAGGGGCGCGAAGCCGCTGGCGGCGGTTGGGATTTGGGGAGTGTAGTTCACGGCGAGTAGTTCTCGGGAGTCGAGTGGAAACATGTCTCCAGCTTTGCTACGCCAAACATGGCTGTCACGAGGAACATGTTCTCCTCTCCAGCTAGCGCGCATAACACAGCAAGCAGTAGAACCTGCATGCACTCACCATACCACTCGTAGCGGATTCTACCTCGCGCAAGGCGCGCCATCCCCTCGCTCCGTGTCGGGTGCGGTGATGAGGGAGCGCGACCGTTGGGTTTCCCGGCGGTGCAGCGGTGCAGCTGGGGTTGATTTTTTTTTAACTTGAGGCTGCGCCGCTGCTGGCCTTCGCCAGGCAACGTGCGCCGGGATATTTTTTCGTGTCAATTTACCAACCGTTACCTTTTTTCGTGTCAATTTGCCAACCTTCACTTTTTTGGTGTCAATTTATCTCAGTCCAAACTTTTCGTGTCAATTTTAACGTGGGAACCCAGCAATGAAAGGACGAAAGGCGGCAGCAGTCGTGTGACGCGGTGCAACTGCTATCGTTTCACGATAGGCGAGTAGCAGACACTGGAACTACACACAACGTTTCGCGAGAACCAGGTATGTATGCCGCGCAATGTCGATTGGTTGACTATGGGGAAGAATAAATTGGGAAATATATAGGCACACACAGAAAGATTACCCGTTCGAGATATACCCACACACAGTCGAACGGGATGTGGTAGAGTCTTTTCAGTGAGTGGAGAAAAACCATATTAAGTGGGGGCGGTTGGCTTGTGACCACGGAAGGCATCCGCGTCAGTTGGACCAGTGCGGACATTAGAAGGTACTGAGCGGAGACCGGACCGGTTTTTAATGTGACGACAGCAACAACAGCATAGACTAATGACTACTGCACCCGTTCCGAGATTGTTGATGTTGAATTGGCAGCAGGCGATTACATGCAATCCGCAAGAGGAGATGGCATCCCATCCCTAGCCCAACTTGTAGCAACGTGTGTGGACAGCGTGTGAGATCGGACGTCCGCAGTATGAGGTTAAACAGGGATGATTCACACAAACAGGGACTACCAGGGAGTACGGAAGAAAATTGAAAGTGTTAAGTTGTTTGTGTCTTTCCGGACGTGCCCCATCGCCCTCTCGCCAATCAAGCGCGACGGAAGCAGCGTTATATGCTGTACAGGCAATGGTCTCATGTATTTTCATCCGCTAAAGAGTCCGTATTGGATTGTTTGGGGGGAAAACGCACAAAATAAGTCAAATTATGGGCCAAACAAATGCAAAAGCATGCTAAAATCAACATATATACACGTCACAAGACCTTCTGCTACTGAAGAAGCAGCGATTTTTCTTGCTCAAACGATCGCGAAACGGTCAAGTCCACAGAGCACCCAAACATCATGAAAAACGTTTAGGTTGAAGACGAGAACATGTAGCCCGACTGCGTTCATATTTGTCGGACGTGTGTAGACGTACGTGCGGTTCATCCGCAAAGTCGACAGGCACTCACCTGTTTGCGAACGGCTTGCAAACGACTAAAAGGATGAAGGTCATCGAATGTAAGGCGCAGAACAACCCGCATTGCACCGCACTGTTGTCCACCAGCACGGCAATGCAGGCAAGGGTAGCCCACTATGCAAGAAGACACGAGAGAGAGCAAATGCAGTAGTAGTTTGAATGCGCCGATATTTCTCAACAACCCGATCGGACGTAAACCAACCGGACTGAATTGGCGTACGTAGCTACGCTCGTTGCTGGAGCCCATACTATTCAAGTGCATCATTAATGTGGCGGTTGTTTGTACAACCCCACTTGGCTACTATGGACCAATTGCTATGGACAGATGACCAACATACGGCCAGAGGGCGCGAAAATAGCGCTTGATACGAACTGACGCTTTGAGTTGGCACGTGAAGCGTTCGGCGGTAACACGGTCCACAGAAGAAAATTTCGTGCGAAGGTAGACTAGACGTCGTGAACAAGTAGCTATCTGTCAGCAACAACCAAGGTACATGCTGTTCAACCGCTGGCCGCCTTCGAAGTACACCTCCCGCTGCGCTCGGAGATAACCAGCAGGGTTCCGAAACGAAAGCCAGAGAAAGTACATGTAGACCCCTCCTGAAGACGACCTACCTCAATCAATGTGTAGACGGTGAACCATGATCCAGCTTGGGTGAAGTCTGCATACAGCGGTTCGAACCCGATCCGGAACCAATCAGCATCCCGTCTTGCGTCTTCGTCCGCCGTCTGGACTGTGTTCCAGTGCCCCTTATCCGCCCATGCAAACAAGCTGGAATCCTTCTTCAACCCGGTAACCATTTTGGAATAAAGGGTAGACTTGCCGGTCGACCCTTCGTCGGTTTTATTGGAGGTGAACACAATGAGGGCGTCTGATCGAACCCTTACCCTGCCGCGGACATCGAAGAGGATAAAACCGAGGATTGACATGGTAGCTATCCGGGACAAGTTGCACCCGGTCTGTAGACACACCCGTGAAAGAGCTATCGATACTACAAGACGCAACATGGCTCTACTGTCGGGCAAAAACAAGCGTTCCACAGAGTTTCTCTTGAGTGCGTGGCTGCGTGTTGGCGAATATGGTGACTGTTCCAAATCCCCGCGACTGCCGGCAATACCGAAGGCGGTCATTGCAAGGACACAAACAATACAGAAGCCAGTAGTTCTCACAGCATCGGTACGGGCCACGAATGAGCACTGCCCTACTCAAACTGCAAACTACCCTCTTTCATGGTGGGGGACTCGATTACCTATGAGTTCGCGCGACCATTGCAACCATTAGCACCGGGTAGAGAACCTGTTCGCGCGATTGTTCACCGAGTAGAGCGCAAACAAATAAGGACGTTTGTCACGAACATTGTCCCTCGAGAGTACATTGCAGGGCACAGAGTACTATCCCAACAACGGGCACGGACTGTAGGAAGCAGACACGCGGGGGTTGGAGCAAGACAACGCTCAACCGAAGCCCGTGAGCCTTGAGGTGGCGTCCGAAAATTAAGTGGGCCCAGCAGAGACGCTGCTATGGTTGGACAGCCTAGCGAATGCTACAGCAGTGTATAGTACATGATCCCATCAGGTACAGCAGCAATTCATTTGTGAAAAACCAGTGTGGGTAATTTCCCCCCTCCACCTTCACCCCCCCCGGTGTATGCCATCGGGGTTAGGTTTCCGTCGCTTAGCAACGACGTTGTAAAACAAGCCAATTCGCTTCGTAAACTCGGCAACCAGGTTGCCGTTTGTATTTTTTTACCTTTGTTTTTTTTTGCGGTAACCATAATGGTGGTCGAGTAGATCATGTTGTACGGGGTCGAGAGCCCACTCCGCGCAAGGGGGATGATCGCACCACGTTGTGTTAAAATGGTCAAGCACCCTCGAGGCAGTTACACAGTGCTTACAACCGTCTCTGGAAGTGAAAGCACCAGAAAATAAATTAATTCATACGCAGCTAGCTGTCATCCGTACGCAAGGAAGTAAGCACAAGATGTACAACACCCTTAGCAGGATGCAGTGCGCCCTTCATGCGACTCGCCGAATATCTCACGGCGCTCGCGCTTGGCGATGTGAGAGCCTGGTCCGGTGAGAACCCGGCGTGCTCCGTCCCGGCTTTGTAGGGATGCGAGGTCAATGGTCTAACGACTACGGCATGCACGACTATGAGTACACCCCCCCCNCTGCCAATTGATATTTGTGCAGCGCACGGGCAGCCAAACCGTTCGGGGACATTGCCTCGAAACGTCCATACCAAACGTAGGAGGTGTAGTCTACCATCGTCACAAGCGATATTCGTGAACAAATGCAACTGTGGGTATGTTTACGTGACGGTGTTTTGCGATCCGACCCGTACAAAAACTCAACTACTGGGCATTCCGTATCATCCCCTAGCGTTGATCGGTTCAGACAGACCCACTTTTTTCGCATGTACATCTTTCGTAAGCACCACAACACTCCCGTTGATTGCTAACGACGCACGCCCATATCCTCACCAAAGTCGCCACGGCCGCGTAGAAAACTGTTGAAGAGCTTGTACTTCGCAACGCTGACACCTGCGAGGTCACTGCGCCCTCGAACGCGAAGAAAAGAAAAACGAGCTCTAGGTGCGGGTAATGAAGCCACGCTGACTGCGATAGTTCTCGGCACTCAGACACCTGGCCGATGGAACTGCCCGCACGCGTGTTCGTTCGCGCTGCTTCTTGTACGTTCGTTGAATCATTCCGGCCCGTGCTGTCCCAAGAAGGTAACGCTTGATGTTCCATCAGTTGAGGTGACTGGATGGCCCGCGTGCCCGACCAAGCGGTGGAACTACCGCTGGTAGAAAGGTCACCACCCAACGCTCTTGGAATCTCATTCCTTGCCCGTTGCTAGGGACGAAAGCAAGAAACAAACGACGGCAGTGCGGTTTGGTGAACCCCAGAGTACCTATCTCTTGCTTTCGCGGCAATCCCTTTGGTTCTGCTTGTACTGTACCCCTTCATTTCTTTGCGGCAACAAAAAGAGGGGGGAGAGAGCGCGGGGAGAGAGACGGAAGTACAGCAGAAAGAGACGGGTATTCTGTAGACGCAACAGCTATCTCCGCCTATAGGCCATGAGGGCTGCTCGCGACAGGACAGTGGACACAGTCAGGGTTATAGAAGGGTTGATTCGTGGTCGCGGTGCGGCCGGTGGGGCAGGATAGGCTTGTAGACCTCGAAAAGATCCGTCGTCAAGCAGCCTAAACTACTCTATTTTCAGCATATTTCATTAATCAGTGAAAATGATCAGTGAGAGGTCTTGTAGTTCTTGTACTTCTGCACTTCTCTGTCCGCTCCCCAATGTGGCCCTTCCGGCTCACTACAGCTCCTGTGATTTTCCTACAATGCCCACAAGCACGCAAGCACACCAGCACACACCTTCCTTTGCATCAATGGCTAGGTAGAGGTGAGGGTATGTTTGGGCTATGATGATAGTGTATGTGTTACTGCAGTACTGCTGTATGTTGGACTCGTCTGTATGCTGTTGCTAGTATAGCTGCTGACATGATGACTGCTGGATCTTCGGAGTGTACGATTTTCAATTTTGGAGGATATGCAGCCACGATATCCTGGCCTGGTTGGGCTTCAAACGCCCCTATTCGTTGTCCTCCTGTCTTTAGTGGCTTCCTAGATTCGGGTGAGGGCATGTGGAGTCAATAACTTGTGTCTCTGTGAAAGGATATGGGGAGAGGTTCATGGTGGCATTCGCATTTAGAGGAGTGTGTGCACACTTTGGATTGTGGCCGTTCCAGGGACCTTGATAGAACCCGCTGGCACTGAAACGTCTTTTCATTGGTCACCGGGTGGCGCGGTTGATGCTAATATTGAAGACAAACCTACCTATTGATTTGCCAACACTGGCGTGGAGGGATACAGGGCGGCAACTCCATGGCATGCCACAACACGAGCATTTGCAAATGATCAATCATATGATCTGTCAGGACGCATGTAGACCCAAGAGGTACAATCCACGCAGAGTACAATCATAATGTGCGTTATCACGTAAAACACATGCGCTTTGGACCAGTTGGCGAACAGGATGTACTCCGTCGGGAAAGCTTCCACCTATCTCACCTTTGCCAGCCAGTACGCCTCAACCGCTGACGCCAGCAAAATGTGCACGGAAAATATGATCACAAAGAACCCCGCAAACAGCGCTAGATTCCCCATGAACAAGAAAGAGCCAACATCGCTGATGACTGTCCAGGAGATTCCTCGCTGCGTTGAATCACCATCTTCTTCGGAGTCGTCGTCTTCTCCGGAGGTTGGCTCCGGCTCATTACATAAAACCCATGATGCTACTCCCTCAGAGAAGCTCTGCGAGGGCCACAAGTTCACCCATCTTTTCCATAAGGGCGGCATGGGCGCGACGGGAAACCAACACAAAATGAAAGTTTAAGGACATGTTCTTGCATGGCTCCACAAGTAGCTACCGTCATTCTGAATGCAGTTCTTGGAAGCACAAGCCTTTTGCATTTATCCATTTACTGGTACAGTTGATGCCACCTCGGTCCACCCGATAGACCTATAATAGGGATTCGATATTCCTCGTCACCTGAGGTTTTTGGTTAACCCAGAGAGAGCAGAACCCTCCACTCCTGTGTCGTCCACGAAAGACAGAGTTGCTAGAAACTGTATTTGCGAGGTAAGAACAAGCGCCATTGTCGACGAAGGGTTCCGGAACGTGCTCTGCGTCGCTGCCTGGCCCTGGTTCGAATGAGGGGGGTAATGAAAGCGACAGGTCAGGATCATGAAGCCGAGCTTGAACGGAAACTTACCCATCAATTGTCACCCCATGCGAGCTAGTTATGGTGAATGCGACAAGGAGTGCGGCCATAACAACCATCAACCATGAATAAAAACGCCCGTATCCGGGTGTGCGCACGAACCGCGACATACCGTGCCCCCCGCAACCACGGATGCCGACGCACTGGTCGTGCCGCCGACTGCGGTGACGACCGAAGATGCCACTACACCGGCAACGGAGACGGTGGACAAGGCAGCGGCAGCGCTGGCAGCGACCTCCTGAACCTGCCACAAAACGTGTAATCGCCGGTGTCCAGCCGGTGAAGTGGTAGGGACGACAAGGGTCCTTCGTGAGAACATTCATAGACCAAGAGCGACGTGTCACCAATATTTGCTGCACTTGTCTCGGCAATCCAAACGACGAGGGCAGGCCTCTTGATACCCAACAAATAATCCTTCCATTGACCGCCACAGCAGCGAGCGAAAATCAAGTTTACCTCAGGAATGATCGTTGGTGCGGATGTGGGTGCTGCTGTTGGAGCTGCAGTTTCCGCGCCAGAGACCACGACCTCACCTGTTGAACATCAGAACGCCAATGTCATCATGAACTCCAGACCACCATCAAACAACCATGCACGTGGGAGTCACCTGGAGTGGGCAACACTGTTCCAGCAACTGTCGGCGCCCGGGTGGTGACTGCCATCAGTCGTGACAATCATTCATAGCGACGAGCCGTTGCCCGGGCACGCCAGCCCGAGAACCGACGACAACAACGAGCGGGACGTGTTCAAGCTCAGTTTTCGGAGATGACTAGTTCAAACGACTAGGAAACGGATTCTCGAAATTCGGTCACATTGTAATTTGCTCGGGTACGGTACGTCAAATTATACGAAATTCCCCAATACACGTTTCCGCACCACAGCAGCAAGCGCTTCAATCAACACACAACATCATCAAGCACTTCAAACTACCATCAAACAACCATGCACGTGGGGGTCACCTGGAGTGGGCAACACTGTTCCGGCAACTGTCGGCGCCGGGGTGGTAACTGCCATCAATCGTGACAATCATTCGCAGGAACAAGCCGTTGCCCGGGAGCGCCAGCCCCAAGATCAACGACAACAACGAGCGGGACACGTTCAAGCTCAGCTTTCGAACATGACGAGTCCAAACGAATAGGGAACGGATGCTACAGACTCGACCACATCGTGTTTCGCTCTGGTACTGTACGTCTGGGCGCCGTAAACGACCCCAAAAACACAATACCCACACCATAGCAGCAATCCTTTCGACCAACGCGCAATATCATCAAGCATTCCAGACCACCATCAGACAATCATGCACGTGGGAGTCACCTGGAGTGGGCAACACTGTTCCGGCCACTGTCGGCGCCGGGGTGGTGACTGCCAGCAATCGTGAAAACCATTCGCAGGGACAAGCCGTTGCCCGGGCACGCCGGACCGAGCATCAACGACAACAACGAGCGGGACACGTTCAAGCTCAGTTTTCGGAGATGACGAGTCCAAACGAACAGGGAACGGATGCTAGAACATCGATCACATCGTGTTTCGCTCGGGTACTGTACGTCAAGGCACCCCGGACAGCCCAAAACACGCTACCCACGCCATAGCAGCAAGCGAGTCGACCAACACACAATATCATCAAGCATTCCAGACCACCCTCAGACAATCATGCACGTGGGAGTCACCTGGAGTGGGCAACACGGTTCCAGCAACCGTCGGCGCCGGGGTGGTGACTGCCATCAATCGTGACAATCATTCGCAGGGACAAGCCGTTGCCCGGGCACGCGGGCCCGAGCATCAACGACAGCAACGAGCGGGACACGTTCAAGCTCAGTTTTCGGAGATGACGAGTCCAAACGAACAGGGAACGGATGCTAGAACATCGATCACATCGTGTTTCGCTCGGGTACTGTACGTCAAGGCACCCCGGACAGCCCAAAACACGCTACCCACGCCATAGCAGCAAGCGAGTCGACCAACACACAATATCATCAAGCATTCCAGACCACCCTCAGACAATCATGCACGTGGGAGTCACCTGGAGTGGGCAACACGGTTCCAGCAACCGTCGGCGCCGGGGTGGTGACTGCCATCAATCGTGACAATCATTCGCAGGAACAAGACGTTCCCCGCGCAGGCAAGCCCGAGCATCAACGACAGCAACGAGTGAGACACGTTCAAGCTCAGTTTTCGGAGATGACGAGTCCAAACAAATAGGGGACGGGTGCTACAAACTCCATCACATCGTGTTTCGCTCTGGTACTGTACGTCTAGGCACCCCAAAAAGCCTGAAACACGCTACCCACACCATAGCAGCAACCGTTCCTACCAACACATAATATCATCAAGCATTCCAGACCACCATCAGACAATCATGCACGTGGGAGTCACCTGGAGTGGGCAACACGGTTCCAGCAACCGTCGGCGCCGGGGTGGTGACTGCCATCAATCGTGACAATCATTCGCAGGGACAAGCCGTTGCCCGGGCACGCCAGCCCGAGCATCAACGGCAGCAACGAGTGGGACACGTTCAAGCTCAGTTTTCGGAGATGACGAGTCCAAACGAACAGGGAACGGATGCTACAAACTCGATCACATCGTGTTTCGCTCTGGTACTGTACGTCCGGGCACCCCAAACAGCCAAAAACACGCTACCCACACCGTAGCAGCAACCGTTCCGACCAACACACAATATCATCAAGCATTCCAGACCACC